CGAATGGGGGGTGGTGTGGCGGGGGGGGGGGGTGTTTTGATGAGTATTTGGTGTGAGTGTGATTGTTGACACAGTGGGGTAAAGGCTGTGATGGCTGAAGGCTCTGATGAGTAATTGAGGACAGCAGGTATCGCCTCCCTCCTGAGCCTCTTCAGGCCATAACCAGCTCACCCTCCGATCTTCAAAGTCTCTCCAGCCCTCTTCTCCTCTCTTTTCTTTTCTTCTCCTCACCACTCATTTCCTCTCCTCTCTCCTCCTCACCTCTCCTCTCCTCTCCTCTCCTCTTCTCCCCTCCCCTCTCTTCTCCCCTCCTCTCCTCTCCTCTCCTCTCCCCTCCTCTCCTTCACCTCCCCTCCCCTCCCCTCTCCTCTCCTCTCCTGGCTGCATTGCAAGTTGAACTTGCTGGGCAGAAAAACAGCATGTATGGTATTAATCAAACCCAGAGCATCATGGGGAATAGGGCAGAGTGAGGAGGGGGGGCTAGATCCCAGCTATTACTGCTACATTGGTTCAGGAAGACAAAATATTTCATTCTCTCTAACCCTTTTGACAACAGTACATCTAGCAACACAAAATTTTTACAATTATATGCTGGAATGCCAATTAAAATGCTGTATGCTTCTCTTACACTTAACTACACTTGATACGGTTGAGTAGTACTGAGTCCAGGATTACAGTAACAGCTTATTTTATGTACTGTATACTGTATATATTGTTTGATTATTTTTTTTGTTTGGTACGTTGATGAATAGATAAAATTTTCCAAATACTCATACACTGGCGTGAGCTTGTTTGTGTTCTGTATACAGTAAATCTAAGGTTTATTCTAGTTAGAACATTTTATCATAATGGATTCTTTCTGCTTCTCTCACACACAGATTTGTCTCTGTCTGTCTGTTTTAGCATTTTCCTCCTTTCTTTGGAAGTGCCTGTATGCCTTTAGACAGTAAAGCTGAGCCTGGGAGTGGTGTTTCGCCTGTCTGTGGGTCAGGGTGCCCCTGTTCTGGCATTGTTGCGCATGCTGAACACGTCACCAGCCTCATGAACCCTCACCCTCCCTCCCCTGACTTTTTCAAATGAACAGATCTGATAGAGTGAATGCCATTACCTGGGTAAATGAATGATTCCTAAAGGACTGGACAAGGCCTAACACCACTTTGAGGGTAAAGCTTATTATCACTGCAGACTTTAAAGAGGGGAGAGAGGAAGCTGTGGAGCTTTGTCAGAGGCCTGTATTTCCATATTAATCTGCCACATTTAGGCATCTGAGACAGAGCGTCTCTGGTCACGCTTCTTTGATAACAGAGCAGTTAGCTTTTCCCCCTCATGTATAAATATGTATAATTCTGATAAGATTAATTGAAACGCCTACAGTAAGTATACAGTGGAAAGGAGATGAGTGGGCGAGAGAGAAAGACACAGCAGGGGGCGAGAGGAGACACCTTATGTTACTAAAACATGCATTTTAGACTGGTTTCTGCCTCAGACCTACTCCAGAGTGGGTGCCTAGGCTCTCTCCTCTGGGTCCAAAGTGCCTTGAATTGAAAATAGCATCTACCTAACAGTCCCTCAGAAATAGCTGAGCGAATACATTTTTGCACCGAGCTGATAAATACGGCATGGAGCCTCTGACACTGAAGCCTCACCCCAATTTCCAGTGCTCTGGAGGAGATCAGATAGCCCTGTGTCATTTGATTTTCTGCCTTATCTCATCCGCGCCCATCTTTTTGTCTCACGCAGGGCTACATTTTAAGAAGCACACACTCCTTGTGTCTTTTGAAGGACAAAACCAGAATGATATTGAAACAAATAATAGGATCACAGTGTGAGAGAGCCATTCTTCTGTTTGATTGACACCAATTGCTGATGTATGCATGTCAAATAAGTGTCCTTCAAGTGACATTTGGGATGCAAATAAGTAGAAGTACACTTTGGTATCGCAACAGTCTGCAAAGTTCGTAGTTCCTGAGTGCTGTTTATGATCACTCCACCACAATGGATGATGTACAATTTCTGTAAGCTAGAACACAATTTATATTTTGTGTATATCCCACATATCCATTGAGCAGTTCCACTTCTGAAACTGACCAATAAAAACATCAGTTTAATAGTTATTTTCTGCAAAGTATGCTGAATGTGAAACGAAAGAGCAGTGAGTGAAGGGAAGACAGCAGGAGAGAGGGAGGAATGGGAGAGTAGAGGTGAGGGACCCTGAGAAAGATGAAACAAGAGGAATAGAAAAAGTACTGTAGGAGAGCTGAAGCGAGGGAGGAGACAGAGACTGTCCCTTGTGCACAGCTCAAGTTGACTGACGGCAAGAAGAGAGGGCTGTAGATAGAGGAAGGGAGGAGGAAAGGGAAGAAGGGAGATCAGCAAGGAGTGAGCGCATCAGTGTGTGAGTGGCGTCTCTCATTAGAAGGTGCTGTCAGGGGCTGCAGAGGGGGGACTGCAGGGACCCCACCTCCACCTTCTCCCCCTTATCCACTGGCCCCTGAGAGCTGGCCGAGAAAATGATTGATGAGTGATACCAAGATAAACACACACCCTGGCCCCCAAAGGCAGCCCTGCAAAATGATGCATGCAGCGTTATAAATAAACCTTGTGGAAAAAAAGTCTAACAATAAACAAGAAAAGAATGCCACACAACAATTGGCTTTTCATATTTTGAATATTAGAAGGCGTACATCAACTCATCTTTTGTTCTTTGCGTCGATGAGTTTCCCTAACCTTTTCTATTTGTAGTCTTACATGTTGGTGTGTGTGTCTGTGTGTGTGTGTGTGTGTGTGTGTGTGTGTGTGTGTGTGTGGCTTTGTTGTTCTGTACTTCTGGAGACAAAAAAACGAGAGCACATTAGTTTTGTGGGGACCGGCATCACTTGTTGGGATCGGAGGCGTAGTTCATCGAATTTTACAAAAACAGCATAAACTCAGAGAAAGTATCATCTTTGGTTAAGGTTGGTCTCCTGGAAGTGAATGCAAGTCTACATGGGGATCCTGTAAGTGACACAAACAAGGAACAAGGATGTGTGTGTGTGTGTGTGTGCTTTGCTGTGCCTATGCATGTAAGCAGTGAGCACAAGGCTAACAAGGCTCACCAGCTGACTGGTTAAGCCCCCTTCAACAGTTACACTGCCTCCTCAGCAACTTGGGCAGGCGGCATACCCACTCATTCACTGTGAAGCACAAACACTGAAGCAAACCTGTTCTCATTTGGGAGCGCTCCAAATCATAGCAGCTGTGAGTAATGTGTGTGTATGTGTGTCAGAGGAGTGCAAGAATGCATGGGAAACTGATGTGCAGTGTGGCATATGTATACTGAGGATACATAGCCTTCCCACAATCCACACAAATAAAAAATACACACAAAACCATGTCCAACTGCTCACTAATTGTTGATTAAGTCATAAATGTTTCATGCTACACTTTCTGTTAATGTTTAACACTGAGCGCCAAATGCCCCTCTTACAAATCGAAGTGGAAAGCCAGATTATCATCAGATAGTTACATTATATCATTATGAGCCTACAGGCTGTGGTCTGGTGGAGGGAGAATGAATTATGAATGGAGTGTGAGGGGGGGATCTTCTTTTCCCCCCTAGGGACTTCCAACAGCACAACTCATTTAAGTTGGATGAATGTCAGATAAGGAAGGAACCCCCCCTCCAAAAACACTCACCCGTACTGCTTGCCTTTCATATTGGCCTTCATCTAATTTAGAAGGAGTGCCGGTTCAGCTGCTCATAGTACTCACACTTCTCACTGGGAGAAATGTATGCTGAAGGGTGCTTTGTTCATTGTCAAACTGTGTATACCAATGCTGAAAAACACCATAAAGAAGTCTTGTCATCTAAGTCACTTGTGCATTTTGTGCCTGGCACAGACTCGTGTCGGGCCTCTTTGTACATCTCTAAAATGAGTCCCTGAGCTGTGCTGTAGCTTTGGCTAAAAATTCTCCTCATCTCATCTTTTTCTCTTTTGCTCTCCCCCTCTCTGTCGTATCTCCACGGATCCAGGCCGCAGAATGGGTCGATGATATTGTACAATAGGAAGAAGGTGAAGTACAGAAAGGACGGCTACTGCTGGAAGAAGAGGAAAGATGGGAAGACCACACGGGAGGATCACATGAAGTTGAAAGTGCAGGGAGTTGAGGTGAGTGTGCTGAAAAGAGTTTGGATTTCAAGGGAGTGAACAGAGAAAGAGGCAGGGTGAGGGTGTGCATAGGGCAGGCGTGAGCCAGCCTTCACCCTGACACAGACAAACACAGGTCTACAGTGAGCTCTCCCCTGGTTGTAATGGAGACAGTCACATGCTGCAGTTGGCCCCTGTCTCTAAAGAGTCTCACCAAGAAACAATGCAGCACAACAATAGTTTTCCCTGGGAAGCCAGTGGAGTGGAACCGATTGTTTGTACCTTATTAAGGCTCTGGATGTTGCCTTTGCTCCAGAGAGCCTACATTAATCTTGCTGGCTCAAAGCAGTACTGTGGAGCTAGCGTTCCCTCCACATTCCAGCAAGTCACTTCCCATACCAGCTGCTGCCATAAAAGGCCCAGCTGTATCTGTTTTTGGCTCACCCTGGCTCAATCTTCCTCAACCTGAGGTGGTGGCAATGCAGCGTTGGCCCCCTACAGTGCCATATATATGAGAGCAGTCAAGTCTCAGCCGCAGACTCCATCTTTTCCTTTACTTTCAGTAGTGCTATAGTTTGGGTTCTGCTCTCTTTCACACAGTTAGCAGCACGCACTGATGCCAGGAGCACAATAGTTGAAACAGAATACAGGCAGAGAGGCGAGGGTGTGAGATTTTGGTCTCCCATTTGTTTGTGTGGACACACAAACACAGATGTGCACACAATTTGTGCACATGTGCACATAACCACACAACCTAGGCAGTGGTGCCGTGAGTCTGTATCACAGAGTGTGACAAAGACAAAGCTCAGGCATTCTCCCAACAGGGGCTCTGCTCTGTGTTTGCACTCCTCCAGGTATTTGTCACTCCAAGAAAATGGCCTCTTCCTTCACCCTGCCAGCTCAGTGTCATCTCTGGTCCTGCAGTGGTCTGATAACCTGTTGGCAGTACACACATCCATCCTTTTGGACTGTTTTTAGGCAAACTTTTTATAATTTCTGTCAGCCCTGCCCTTACACAAGTCAGGACAGTTATATTAACATGTGAATACAGATTATGTACAGTCATTTCCATGTGGCCTCTGACTTTGTCAGTCCCCACAAAATGCTTGTAAATCTGTACAGACTGGGAGGGAAGTGGTTCTGCCCTTTGTGCTCTGACTTTTTACATACTCTTCCAGTCAAAGGTTTGGACACACTTCCCATTTAATTCAGAAGGAACGTGTGTCCAGACTTTTGAGAGGTGGTGTAAAGGGCAGGACTAGCATGTTTTACTCAAATCTTTTGCCGCTGGCACACACTGAGCCATCAGAGCCAACCGCCTAGGTTGTATGTTAGCAGCAGTACAGAAGTACATTAATATCTGGTTCCCACCTGATTTAATAAGACCTCAAACTACTCCAAATAAATGCTTTTTTAAATTTAAAAACAGCTTATGTTTATGGTTTCCAATCTCACTTGTGCTTTGGGTGCAGTCTACCTTTTTTTGACAAGTCCTTTAGGCTGTTGTGATGTTTTCCACCAGTTTGGCCAGCTTCAGTTCAACCCAGGTTCCATTCCTATGACACATTTGTGGATTCCCTGCCTCCAGCAATAAACAGAGATGGCATCATGACTGGCAGAAAAAGACCGGAACTTTGGGGTATAATATAACACAATGGAGTATTTGCTGGCTCTTCTATGATAAACATGCCTTGTACAGTTATTACAAGAGCCAGCTGTTCCCCCAAACCAGTCCTAAAGAAAGTCAGTTGAAAATGTCCCCATGCCTACTTTAAATCTGCTGTATGTGCTTTATCGAGGCCCACATCAGAACTGCACTGCCCCCACAACAGAACACTATACTGTATGCCACTGTCCTATTTTCCAGCATCAGCGCTGGTCAGTGCCCCAAAAAAAGCAGCACTTTTTCTTTAGAATCGCTGCCTCGATTGGCTCGTCACAGCTACTGTATCTCCGGTACTTCTGTTGTCCAGTGATAGTGCGCGTTCTTCTGTTGTCTTGTAGCTGTCACAGTGGGTGAGGAGAAACATACTGTTATAGTATAAAAATATCCAGACCTCTGTGACCACCAGTCCCAGCTTCATAAAAATAATATAAAAAAAAGACATTTCCTGGCAAGCCATAGCTAAAGAGATTGGCTCTCAGGTGAGGAACCGTGTGAAATGAAACACAAAAGTCTCTTGAATCCAGGGCACCACTCCAGATTCACTTTGTTACATATTGTGCTGTACTGTATGAGCTCTGTGTGGTCACGTTGACTTGCCACACCACAACACATTCATTGCAAGGGGCGCCAAATGACCATATGATGCACTGGAGCACCGTGGTGGCGGTACCAAAAATAGCATGCACACATCACCTGAGTTACTGAGACTGCGTACTGTGTTTCTGTGTGTGTACACAGCCACATTTTCCAGCCTTGGAAGACCTTAGTCATGTCCTTTAAACACCTCACCCCTCAAGATGGACAGAGCGAGGTAACAGGCCTAGTATATGAGGGGGCCCATCATGCACACTCATATTTACTCTAACTTGACCTTTGCCCTCTGTTCAGTGAAAGTGTGATGCCCTGTGAGATGAAAAGATCTGTTATTTTTGATTACACTATCTAGAAGGAGAAAAGAATAATTCATTTTCATATCATTCCTTCACAAAGCAGAACACTGAGTTGACATAAACCTCGTTTGTTTTAAAGGAGATAGCTGGACCTGAGGAGGTAGCTGCTTTTATTCCCCAGTCATGCAGTTGTTAATAGGGGTTCTGTGATTATTACATGGGCCAAGTTTAGTGCACAGAGCACAACTGTTGTGGGTGATTCAGGCTAGTGACGTTCAGTGGCTCCAGTGAGGGAGAGGTTGCAAGTCCAGGAGCGAGGGGCCTTCTGGGGCCTGCGAGAGGCAGCCTAGCATGGCAGGAGTATATGTCGGTGTGTGCTGATGCTGTCCTGTCTGCTCTGCAGTGCTGGCTCAGCAGCCTGTGTAAACCAAGCCTCTACTCTGCTTCTCCCTCCCTTTCTCTTTATGTGTCCTCCTCCCTCTCTGTGTCTTTCATTTCTTAGTCTTTAATTGTTTCACTAGAATTTTCATTGCCCTACTCAACTCTCACATCTCTTTCTCCTTACTGTCCTGTTTCTCCCACCCACCCCTCCAAGTCCACAATCCAGATGGACAGAACCTTGGGTTGGGCAGTAATGCTCCCTGTTCCCTAAAATTGGAGCGCAGGGCATGTTGCGGCATTAGCGCTTAACAGGCCGTGAAATAGCAGCCTGCCTTCCTGACGTCTCCCCCATCACTCCAGGTGAGTTGGCCAGACGGCTGGATAAATGAGCGAGCGGCACCCCCAGCAACCAGCATGCATTTGGGGCGCCTGAGGAGGGGTGTCCATCAGTGATTATCTCACCACACCCTGCTCTTACCAAGCCCAAGTTGTTCATGCGTTTCACAAGCATGGCCAAACTCCCTTGGGAATCCTTGCATCCACTCAAATGACGTCCAGTGGCTGTCTATCAGTCGGGATCCTCAGTTACATCAGGATTTGACTGGCTTTATTCTCCCACAGAGTGATGTCATCTTAATTCAGGCTGTAGGTCTCATAGTGTATATAGCTCTAGCATCCCCTGGCTTCTCGCTGTGAAATAGCAGAGACCTCAAACACATCTGCTTTGACAAACTCCAACTGATCTCAGCTCTGCTTCTTGTCAAGCTTCTACCTCAATGCTAACCCTTCTTCTTAGCTGATTAGCTGTTAATGCGGGTTCAACCCCCGTCACCTCCACCCCTTCTATCCTATCTCCCCATTATTCCTAAGCTTTAATAAACTCCCTCAAACGCAGATCGATTTTCTCTTAAGTGAAGGTGGCAGTGCCTCTGACTTATTTCATTACCACAGGCTAATTATACCAAATGAAATGAGCTTCTCTTCTTAAGGTGTGCCGTGCTGCTCTCTTCCCCCACACTCCCCACACTTTAATGCCAATACAGTTACCTACCAATTCCCTAACTCCCATTCCTCTCTCAGCTCCACCTTGCCATCCAACCCTCTCAGCCTCCACCACCTAAATAATCAGCTGATGCATCCTTAGCCCCCGTAACTTGTCGTTTCATGTCAGATCCACCCTAATGTGTGATTTCAACTGTGCAACTGTGCAATGAAGGAAGGTAATGGAGCATGCTGGTGGCTCAATCGCCTCTGTTCATTGATAATAATGAAGACAAATGTCAAAACATTAGTTTGTTGTAATGGAGTGGATGCTAGCGGATGCATGCTGGATGCTACACTGCGTTGGCTTTTAATATAACGTGACCTTCAACATTTAACTTTGCTTTTATCATGTAGTCTAGCTTTTCCATTTGCACCAAATCAAACATTAAAATTTTTTAATCCATCCAAGCAAAATGATATCTGAATTCATGCGATTCTCTTGAGGCACAGCTTTATACTTTGCCAGTTAACCTTTTTAATTTCAAATAATTTATGCGCAAGCCTGAAAAAGACATAACCAAAATAAAATGGTCCAGGTGTGCCTGGTGCACCTAATCACGAAATGAATTCATAACCTCGATAGTTGACAATTACAGTGCCAAATTTTGCAGGAAAAAATAAGATTCCAACATATCATGGAACCTGGGTTGGTAGAATTGCTAAATTCTAGAGAGTTGCTTTATGTGTTTGTATGTTTTCAGTAGCAACTGATTTACAGATGCAGAAGCTGATATCACCAGATTGCGAGACCAGATGTGAGAGGGCACTAAACAAAGCCATTTCAAAGAGGAGGTGACACCATGCATGCTTTCCCTCCTGCCCGTGCTCCAAGTCAACTGTGAAATTAAGATTAGATTACTGATACAAGTAATGCCCATAGCAAGAAAGTGTGTATTTTTCATCTTATTCAAACTTATAGGCTGTATATTAGACAACAGTCAGTTCCCTGCTCTGTAAAGACACTAAATCAATTACTGTTTCCATTGTCTGGAGCCTGCTTTGTTATTCAGTATTTTCTTCTTCTTTGCCTTGGAGCTCAC